GAGAGAGAGAGAGAGAGAGAGAGAGAGAGAGAGAGAGAACAGCTATGTGTGTGTGTGTGTGTGTGTGTGTGTGTGTGTTGGCATCACCTTTTGGCACCCCTCCTCCTCCTCTTCCTCCTCCCTCTCAAATTCCTTCTCCTCCTCCTCGTCCTCTGATCTATTGTCGCTGTTGATGACCGTAATGGGAACGCGGTTGCTGCTCGGCGTGCAGCTGTTGCCTGACGGCATTACATTTGGTCCGAGGAGCTGCCGGCTCATCAGGTCGGATGGAATAAGATATAAGAAGGATCTCGTGGGCAAGGAAACAGCAGACGGCTGTTGTTGCTCGGCAGATGCAGATGATTGGGGCAATACCTCTCTCCCCCGGCTTGTGGTGTTTAGCGCGCATGCGATTTTTTTGTGAATCGTCTGGCATCAGATAGGTTCCCGGCATACATCAGACGCTTTCCCGCCATCACATTCATTCCCGCCATCAGACACATTCCCGCCATCTTCGGTCGCGACAGTCATAGGAATTTGCTGCCTCTCTCCATAGCCGCTGCCATAGCCCCAGCAACAGCAGCGTAATGCATAAACAGGAGGAGGGACCAGGAGAAAGGAGGAGGAGGAGGACGACGAGGAGGAGGAAGAGGAGGAGGAGGAGGAGGAGGAGGAAGAGGAGGAGGAGGAGGAGGAGGAGGAGGAAGAGGAGGAGGAGGAGGAGAACGAAATAGGAGACGATGTAGGAAGGAGAAGGTTCAGCGGCGGCGGTGGGAGAACGGTTCAGGTGAGAAGTCTTCCGTTCTTTTTCCTTTTGTGTCTTTTTTTTTTTTTTTCCCACGCGGGCTGCCCGACGCTAATCGTCTCTGTATCTTTCCAAGTTTAAGGGATGTCCCGAAGAACCGCCCTGTGACTATCGATCATAGACATCTTCACACACACACACACACACACACACACACACACACACACACACACAGAGAGAGAGAGAGAGAGAGAGAGAGAGAGGGAGAGAGAGAGAGAGAGAGTGCACTACACAGAGCTCTACGTGGATGTCAACCGGATTGACGCCCAGATGCACTCAAATTCAATGTCGATCCGATTGTATCCGGGCCATGGTTGCCGTCCAGATACATAAAGAATGTGTTCTTGACCGTGGCCC